AAAAATACATCTTCTCATATTTTCTGAATATCTGAGTGTCTTTAGATCCATCCTACCTTGTTAGCTTTCATTTTTGCTTTCATTCTAGGGATGCCTTCAGTCTTGGACTTTAAAGGTCAGCTACAGGTTAACTATTCAAAATCTGCGTGTTATGCATCTTAGATTTTGCCCTGGATCTTCAGACTAAATAAACACAATTCTCAATTCAAGTTACTTATGAGGCTAGTAGGAATTCCAAACTGAACTCCTAATAGGAACCCTGAAATTCTCATGTCACTTCTCCCACTTCCATTAGTTACTACTTCATGCAATGGTTCTTCGCACCCACAAACTTGAATCACCTGTTTGATCATTTCTTTTGCTCTCAATCTGCAACAGAAAATCCTGCCAGCCTCTATTTTAAAATACCAGATTTCCCCCATCACACTTGCTCAAGGGGCCAATCTCTCCTTTGCATTACTCCGGTAGATGCTTATCTTGTGCCCCCTCCTCACCCTGCCCTTACAACCCTCTACAGATATAGATATGTTTGCCATCAGATTTACAAGCCTTTCCACATTTGAGGTTTGAAATGCCTGAAATGGCATTTATAAGAGAAAATCAGGTTGTAGTATCCCACTGGTTTGCTGGTCCCATTCTGCAGCTAATTTTACTGATTTTGTTGGAGTCACTGAAAATGAACATTCAAGAAGTCCAATTTTGATGTCTCAAGGTGTATTCATCCTTTTCTCTAGATCATCCTGCCCCATCTTCAAGGAAAATCACTGCGTTGATTCTGGGAATCATTTGCCTGGTTCTGCTTAGGTCCATTGGATTAGCAATTATTCATTGTAAGTACTAAGTAAAAAAGAAATATGCATTTTCTGCTCATATTCTGAATTTTGTTTGTTATACATTTTTAATCCACATTTTTAATCCACTTTTAATTTTTATTCCTTGATCAGCATGAAATTCTGTGACTCAAAAATTGATGAAAATTTTGTTATTTACTTTAAATTATAGAACGACTTTTACTGCTTACTCTCGTGTTTACTTTGTTCCATTTAAGTATTTTTGAAGATTTTATTTATTTATGAATATAGAACTGGGGTGCAAGCCAAAGTTGCAGGGGCAGTGGGAAGACACAGAGTGTCACCAGACACAGTGTGGAGCATAACAGGCAGATCAATGAAGTACACTGCTGAGGGGAGCAGCGGGCGGGTCAGGAGAGGTCTGCCGCACCATGTGGGTCACCTATGGAGCCTGGCAATCAATTCACACTGAAGCGGCATGGCTAGCTTGCGGTGCTAAGTCCTATCCAGTTTTAGCACCAGGGAGGGCCTAACTGAAATTTTTTTTTTATGAACGTGAAAAGCTTGCTTAACAATGCTATACAGAATTTGCTTCATGTATGGTCAATTACAGCATAAATTTGTAATAATTATGTTATAGTTTTATATTTATTTTTATTTTTCTATTACATTGAGCTCTTTAATGTCATTGATATTTTCATGAATCACTTTTGTATTTTCTTTGTGGTATAGTGTCAGGCTGTCCAATTATTTTTCATTTGAGTTAAAAAAAATCATCTTTCTGAATTCCCTTCAGTGAAGCTGAACCAAGTTAATGCAGAAGGACACACAGGAAATTTCTCCTGTAACAAGGAAGAAAATAAAAGAGGTAATTTTGGAAGTGTCTCAGTTCTTAATTTTTATTTTATTTTATTTATTACAAAGTTTATTTTTACATCATTTTGGACATTTTTTTTCCCATCTCGATTGTAATCCTCACGGGTTTCCCATCACCAAATCACCCCTGTGCCACCACCATAGTCCCGTGCATTTCCCTCCCCCCCCCCATTTTT